AGCATGCGATTATGGAACTTCTCCCCAAATGTAAAAGGGACAGAAGCGGCATATGTAGCATTTACCCGAGCACAGCCACTCCCAGCCATTCACTTGCATTTTGTGGCTAGAATCGGTGCATGCTGCTCCCTGGGCTCCATAGAAGAAAAAGTATTTTAATGTTTTCTTTGTATCCGCTTTCCTTTTCATATATTATAAAAACATTGTAGCCCTCATCACTGCTAGGAGTGTTTAATTTTTTTCCCAGGTAAATATCATACATAAAACATGTTACATACACACAGGACTCTTTTCAGCAGGAACGTTGTTCTGGCTCCTCTATTGATGCTTGCTGCTGGGGGATCTATTGTTGTGGATGGGTTTATTGTTGCTGGTGGGGGATCTACTGTTGTTGTGGGAGGTATTTGGTTACTGGGGGTGTTTATTTTGCTGGGAGGAATCTACTGTTGAGGGAAGGATCTGTTTTCGCTGGCTGCTGGAGGGTCTATTGATGCTAACTGCTGGCAGATCTATTGCTGCTGGGGTGGATCTATTGTTGCTGGAGGGTATTTTGTTATGGGTGGCATATTGTTGTGGATGGGCTTATTGTTGCTCGGGAGATCTATTGTTGCTGGTGAAAGATCTACTGTTGCTGGTGGGGGGTATTTTGGGGGGGGTGTTTATTTTGGGAGGGATCTACTGTTGCTGGCTGCTGGGGGGCCTATTGATGCTTACTGCTCACAGATCTATTGTTGCTGGGGTGGATCTATTGTTGCTGGGGGGGTTTTGTTATGGGTGGCATATTGTTGCTGCTCTATTTCTCTGTTTTTCTTGTTATTATTAGCAAATGACGTACAAATTACTTAGCTCCACAAACCATACTTTTGTATTTTGGTTTTGTATTCTCTAAAACAGGCAGTAGACATATGCAGAATGAAAACGTGTTTTGCTTCGATTTGTTATTTAAATAATTTAGTTAAATCCTTTAAATTTGTTGAATTCATTTTCAAATTTGATTAGAATTTTCCAAATTCTGTCAAATTGAATTCAATTTGACCGAATTCGGAAAATTCAAATAGGATTCAAATTTATTCTATTCAAAATTCAAATTTCAGAAGACGGTTATATTCTATTCTGTTCTATTCTTTTTTCTGTTCTATTCTTTTTAATTCTATTTATTCTGTTCTTTTCTATTCTATTCAAATCTTTATTTTTAACTCAAATTTATTCAATTCTATTCGAAATTCGAATTTCTTTTTTATTTTATTCTATTGTTTTCTATACTAGTCTTTATTATTTTAGTCTTTTATTTTCTATTCTATTTTTTTTCCATTCTAGTTGTATTCTATTCGAATTTCGAAAGATTATATTCTTTCTGTTTTATTCAATTCTATGCTATTCTTTTCTTTTCTATTCTGTTATTTTTTTATTCTATTCTTTTATATTCTATTGTTTTCTTTTTTATTGTATTTGAATTCGAATTTATTCTATTCAAAATTCAAATTTTGGAAGACTTTTTTATATTTTATTCTATTGTTTTTTTTCTATTCTACTCTATTATTTTATTTACTAATCTACTGTTTTCTATTCTATTCAAATTTATTTTATTCGTAATTATAATTTTGAAAAATGGTTATATTTTTTCTATTTTATTTGATTCTTTTATTTTCTATTCTACTCTATTCGAAATTCGAATTTCCAAAGATGGTTATATTCTTTCTATTCTATCCTATTGTTTTTACTATTCTATTCTATTAACTTCTATTCCGTTCTAATCTTTATTTTTTAATCTATTATATCCTGTCCTTTCTATTCTAATCTATTCTTTTTCACTGTTATTCTTTTTTTTATTCTATTCCAATCTGTTGAATTCTATTCTATTCTATTCCTTTATTTTTTATGCTATTATTTTATATTCTATTCTGTGCTGTTTTACGCTATTCTATTATTTTCTATTCTGTTCTATTCTATTTTATTTTATTCTATTTTTTCTATTCTATTACTTTATTTTCTATTCTATTACTTTGTTTTCTATTCTATTTTATTCTATTCTTGTATTTTAATTCAATTTTGTTTTCGAATTCGAACAAATTTTGGACATTTGGTTTCGTTATTTCGGATTTATTTAAATTCGTTACTATTGTAATTCAGATATTTGGATACATCTGAATCTTCAAATTATGAAAAATTTGTCTGAATTTCGATTAAGAACGAAACATGTCTAAGAGGCAGTACTGGGAGATGGATAGGGAATGTCACTCGAAGGAGGCAGTACCTGCACCTATTCCCTGAGAAGCAAAAGCCCTGAATATACATATAGGGGTTGATTTACTAAAACTGCAGAGTACAAAATCGGGTGCAACTATGCATAGTAGCCAATCAGCTTCTAACTTTAGCTTGTTCAATTAAGCTTTGACCGGGAAAAACCTGAAAGCTGATTGGTCTCTTTGCAGAGCTGCCCCAGATTTTGCACTTTCCAGTTAATCCAAGTTAATCAACTCCACGTTCTAATGGAAGATTGCTGTTGGAATGAATGGTGTGGCAACAAAGTCTCTTTAAAGTGGTTGTAAACCACTGCATGTACTCAGTGATGTGACTAGCTTCAGGTGATACCCAGAAATTAAACAAATCCTCCTACCTAATATGTACCGATTTATCTGCAGTCTTTCTTTCTTTACATCCATTCAAAGTCTAGAATTTATAAAGCTTGTCTGAGCTGTCAGAAGAAAAGGGGGCGGAGAGCTGACATTACGCACTCAGTGAGAAGAGCTCTGAGAGCTGATTCAGGGGAAGGGACACACAGCCTTCATACAGCACACAGTAACATAGTTGAGGCTGTCAATCTGCTGGTGGTCCCTCTGCTGTCACCATTTTTCTCTTGGTGTCAGGAAAATCTGTCAGAATCGACTCATACAGATAGCAGAGAAATGGGGCAGTAGACAGAAATGACACTTCATGCTCTGAATAAAGACAGATATGCTTTGTTCATATTTCATATCTGAAGTTTACATCCATTTTTGGAACCGGAATCCTGGTGTGTTGATCAAAGATCTGGTAAAGTATGCTCTACATGAAGCAAAACTTTTTGTTCTGGGTGCATTTCAAAAGGAGAAAGGTGATTACAATTACTTCATTCCACGCATGCACACAGGAGTCCGTTATTCTGGCACAGCCAGAGTGTGCCAGGAACGCATTCAATAGAAGACTGTGAGCAGGCCATAAGTGTTTGTTATTGCAGAACATGTCTCTTTTAGTTGCCTGCTTGCAGTTTTTCTTGGTCAAGTTTAGTTCCACTTTAAGTCCATTCATTCTCAAACAGTGTTATTTCATAGGAACCCATGCTATACTGACCCTAAAGCCAGCCATACACGGATGAAATCCCCAAAAAATTTTGTTTCAAAAATCTTTCTAAGAATTTTTGTTCAAATTTTACGTCATTAGTGGGTCACAGAACGAACAATTTTTGTGTGACCAATGATGGCAGAATCATGTGGGAAATGAGCACGAGCTGTGACCTGGAAAGAAAAGAACATTCTTGGCCACGAAAATTCTTTTCTGTAGCAACATGTGAAATTGAAAACTTGGTTTGTTGAATTTCGAAATCAATGGTGGCACCATCGAATTACAAAATGTACAAAATTTCTGATTTTCGAAAGAAAATTTGTTCAGAATTCAACCCATGTATGGCCTGCATAACTCCTATAGCTGCTGTAATAGATCAAGAATATTTATAGGTGCAGCTCTCATTTTGTGTGTTCACATTAATAACAAAATGCCTAAGTGCATAAATAAATCAATACATTTGTACATAATCCACTGAAACCCACTCCAAAACCAATCAAACGTGAAAAAGTCCAAAACAAAGTACAATATGCAGATAAAAGCACATTTAACGTCCAATATGTTTTTCAACATACGCCTCCATTTTTTTTTTAACTTAAATTGTTCCAGTCACCACGTGCTGACCTCCACCTTCTCAAACCCCTCGCCAGATTATTAGGCATACTATTATGTAGTGTCTATACATGTTCAGGATCTTAGGGGAATTGCACCACGCGTCCACTATGACCATCCACCACTCTCCTCTGTAGATTTCCACCACTCCTTTTTCTGGGTGTTCTACCACACCTACTCTCTTGGGGGGTTCTACCCCTATTGCTTCTCAGCTTGTGTCACTCCACGAGACCAGCTCAGCAAACACCTTATATCTCCTCCTCTTACCCTCACATGGATGCAGGCATTAGAAAAGATACAAAAAAATCAACACTGTTTAGTTTTATAAAAATGAAGCATTAACGCAAATACACTTCCATAGCTCTGTGCTGTCGCCCTTCACCAAGATAGAATGCTCAGTCAAAATCAGTTTTGTCTCCACCAGACAACTTAGTGCGAGCCTGTTCTGTGTGCGGGATGATGTCACTTGTAGTACCGCCCCAACACGTTTCGTCTCATAGTCTCATTTGTCCACTCCCTCCTATGTATTTATAAAAATCTGGCCATATACTATACAATTTGATTGTACAATCTCTGTACAATCTCCTTTAGATTTACTAAAACTATATAATAGTAGGATACACCTAGATATCCAGTCAATTTCTATCCTATCAGGCAGGGATAGGATTATCCCACTACTCAATTGATGGTAGCTCTAAAGGAGATTGTACAATCAGATTATACAGCATATGGTGAGCATTGAAAACTCCCAGGGACACACTTCTGTTTTCAATACTGCTGCCTGCATGTGAGTACAGACGGGGGTGGGAGCATTCTCCTGGAGGAGGAGGGCAGGTATAGGGTGTGTGCTAATGGGGTCAGCTGGTGAATTACTTCCAGTGTCTTAACAGTTTTCGTGTCCTAAATCTGCGAACAGAAAGTCATCAACTTTTCTTTGGGACAAGCTGGAGGCTGAGGCCTTGTCCTAAAACACATAGAAAGCTTTTTCTTTTCTGCACCAGAAGTACATTAATAGAATAAGGGTAAATAGGGAAGCTGAAATTTAAAAAAAAAAGTGAAGTTAGCCTTTAACCACTTCCCGTCCGGCCCATGTACAGTATATAAAAACGGCCGGATGGGAACAGTGCAGGAGCGGTTTGCCGTTCACAAACGGCGCCCTTTTTTTTCAGCCAGTGCGTGCTCCTCCAGACACAGCCGAACACCGATCGCTGTATGGGACCTCTGTGTGAAGTCCCGATCATGTGATCACTGATTGGCCAATCAGTGATCACATGAATGGTAGTAAGCAAGATATCACTTCTGACATCATTGCTTACTACATGTGAAATCTGTGAATGGTCACAGATGTCACATGGTACAAGGCTATTCACAACAGCCTTGTACCATGTGACAAGCTGTGACCAATCACAGCTCTCACAGTATTTCTCAATGGCTGCAAGAATGCAGCCAGAGAGAAGGAGAAATGATTGTTTCACAGCCTTTATGGGTATAAAAGCAATCAGTGTAAAAAAAATCATCATTGCCCCCCACAAGTAGTACAGTGTCACTATTGTGACACTGTACTGTTAGGGTGAAAGTATGTTAAAAAAAAAACATAAATAATAATAAAAAAAATAACATAAAAATGTACTAAAAATTTTTGAAAAATTATAATTTTTGGTTATAAACTAATTTGGGTTATTTTTTTTTTACTAAAAAGATAGCTGAATACATTTTGGCCAAGATTTATGAAGAAAGAGATTATTTATTTGCAAAATTTTATACGAAAAACACTTTTTTCCAAAATGTTTGGACTTTTTCATTTATATAGCAAAAAAATTTAAAATCCCAGTGTTAAATAAATACCACCAAAATAAAGTTTTATCTGTCTCAAAAAAATGCTAAAAAATTCATATTGGTACAGTGTTGCATGACCGCGCAATTGTCATTCAAAGTGTGACAGCACTGAAAGCTGAAAATTGGCCTGGACAGGAAGGGGGTGAAAGTGTCCGGACTTGAAGTGGTTAAGTTTGGTCCCTTCTGTTGTTATGTCATAGGTGAGGTTAGTGCCCATATAAATGCCACCTGTGGGTTCAGGTCCAGCGAGTCAGGGTATGGGAGCAGGACAATCCAGAGCTGCAAAGATGTAATCCTACTCTGCGCTGATCTAAAGAGCCCTGTGGGCTGAATTCCCAGGGATAATGGCACAGAACATCTGAGGACTATGTGAAGTCACCATGTCTACCCTTGACCTTCTTTCACAGGTCCTGTAGCATGCTGCATATGACCTGTAACAGAGTGAGTGGCAGCAAAAACCTGGGAATAGATATCATCAGGGGGAATGTATAGCTGGGTAAAAGCTATAGAAGGGATATTTGCAAGAGAGTGGCATTATACTAACATGACCTTGTCACCCCTGACCCTCATCTGTGGGTCCTGTGGCTCAGTGGCGGATAGCCTAACGCTAAGGAACTTAGTATACATGGGAAAGTGGTCCTAACTCTGTGGTTCTCCCAAGGAGACAAATAAAGGGAAGATGGTTAAAATATGTAAGTTGTACTCTGCATGGAAAGACTGCCACAGAATGTAAATTGATGCTAGTGGCACTCCATGCTGAAGATTGTGTCAGTGTGTCAAATGTGATATGGCATGGGAAGAAACATCAAGTTTCAATAAAGTGCTGAAAATGCATCTTAGTGTGGATATTCCATTATTTCACAGGTTAAACCTAAGGTTGGGAACGTGCAAACAGGTCTCTGCTAGGGTGAAAAGTTTCCAAGATGGTGGCTGCAAAGGCAGGTGAGTGTTCTCTCCATGAAAAATCAAGGCTTGGTGCCAACATCTGCCCAATCCAGGTCGTAAGGTCATGTACTGTGTATAATATATATATATATTTTGACAGTGTGGCGATCTGTCACCCTGGATTCTCAACAAGGCAGGTTGAGGGGCTCCAGGGTAAAGGTTTGATATGGAGGAAAGTGGCTTTTCACCTTCCTCCTTTGTTTGTAAGGTCTGTTTTGGGATCTGGAGCCTGGAGATTTCAAAGAGATCTGGGAGGGATGAAATCTCCAATCCTGGGACCAGGTTTTGGGATAGGCCAGGAGACTGATTGCACAGGTGTGTGCAGGCCTTTAGAGAGAGTCAGGACCAGGGTTCTGGGCTCCACCCCGGCAGCTAGGAGTCAGGAGGGCTCCACTTGGAAGTCAGGAGGTCACTGTCTGGAAGTCAGGTGGGCTTCACCTAGGGGAGGTGGAAGCCAGACTAGCTGTGTGCTAGGGGCTATAATTTGGGAAGAGTCTGCAGGAGACAGACATTGAACTGTGTGTAAGCCAGGAGGCTGAATCTTTGTTTTGTTGGTGGATACCCCTGCGTGGGAAGCATTATGTTTGAACTTTCATTTAAATAAAAGTGGGCTAAAAAGGCCCTGAAAAAGAAAGCGAGTAGCTGTTTGCGTTTGAAAGCTCTACCACGTTGAAGCGAGTTCCCACAATATATATATATCTGTATGCAAGTGTGCTCAAAAGTTTGCATACCCTGGCAGAAATTGTGATTTTTTTTTTTTTTTTTTTGGCGTTGATATTGAAAATATGACTGATCGTGCCAAAAAAACTGTCTTTTACTTAGGGATAGTGATTGCATAAAGCCATTTATTATCACATAGTTGTTTGGCTCTTTGTTAAATCATAATGATAACAGAAATCACCCAAATGGCCCTGATAAAAAGTTTACATACCCTGGAATGTTTGGCCTTGGTACAGACACACAAGGTGACATACACGGGTTAAAATGGCAATTAATGGTTAATTTCCCACATATGTGGCTATTTAAGTTGCAATTAGTGTAAATGAATGTGTTAGCTCTTACATGGATGCACTGAGCAGACTAGATACTGAGCTATGGGGTTCAGAAAAGAACTGTCAAAAGACCTGTGTAACAAGGTAATGGCACTTTATAAACAAGGAAAAGGATTTAAAAAGATACCCAAAGCCTTGAATATGCCAGTCAGTACTGTTAAATCAGTGGTCGGAAGAAGTGGAAAATTCAGGGATCTCTTGATACCAAGTTAAGTATAGGTAGACCAAGAAAGATTGCAGACACAACTGCCAGAAGAATTGTTTGGGATAGAAAGAAAAAACCTCAGGAGAAATAAAGGCTGCTCTGGAAAAAAATGGCGTGGTTGTTTTGAAGGAGCACAATTCGATGATATTTGAACAAAAATGAGCCAAATGGTTGAGTTGCCAGAAAAAATCCTTTACTGCATCAATGACACAAAAAAGCCCGGTTACAGTATGCCCAACAACACCTTGACATGCCTCTCTGGGCTTTTTTGGTGGCATTTTTATATAATAATGGCTTCAAATGAACACTATCATTAAATAAAAGACAGTTTTTTGGCATGATCAATCATATTTTCAATATGAATGACAAAATTTCATGATTTCTGCCAGGGTGTGCAAAATTTTGAGCACAACTGTATATACAGTACACTGTTGAGACCATTATAGACATGACAACTGAGAGAAAATTTCTCCAATTTGTCCAAGGCGAGGGAATATTTTCAGACCGTTGTCACTGGAATAAGTGCCCCGAATTGAAACTTTCCCCTCTATTCCTGTTCTGGTAACATTTATAAATTTTGGATTTTCCCTCACTTCCAATGGCAATAATCACCAGGACAAGAAGAGAGACAGAAGAGAAGGCAAATCTCCCCACAAGAGACACACATAGTAATTAAAACCTGACACAGTTACTAAAGCTTTCCTACTGTATGTAAAAGTTTTAAAAATGTTTTGACTTTAGATACACTTTAAGTGCATGGGCCATTTTCAGTTGGCCACAGTCCTTCCATCTTAGACTCTCTTTTAACACTGTATGAGTAACATATGATTCTATAAAAAGCAGAAATGATGTAGTGCTCCAGTTTTAATGGTCCATGGAGATAAGCATCTCTTTCCTTTAAAGGAAATGATTTTACGTTTATTTTCCACAATCTAACCATTATATGTTCCATACTTTATTATAGGAATAGAGTATTTTTGAGGATCCGCCTTCTATGGGCCATGTTTGCATTTCTCTGAATGTGAAGTTCTACAAAATATGGATTTAGTAGCTGTCCAGGACACAAAAAAATAATGCCTTTAGTTATACTTCAATTGTCATAGATTATTTATTAAGTCCGGATAAAATAGAGAGGGATTAGAACACCTGACAGGTTGTTACTGCAGTCCGTGTCCCCATTAGGGAGATTCACCCTACTTGTTCCCATTCATTGATATATATATATATATATATATATTCTCCTAGATTGTAAGCTCTAAGGAGCAGGGCCCTCTAACCCCTTGTGTATCGCACTGTATTGTTGTTGTACTGTCTCATGTATTGTCTCCCATTGTAATGTACAGCGCTGAGCGATCTGTTGGCGCTATATAAATACTGTATAATAATAATTTTATATACAGTATATATATGTAGGGAACTGTTATTTTATACACTAGTTGTGGTTTGTTTACATCCATATACATCCACTACCATAGAGGTCCCATTACAGACAAGTCCCTAGGTGTGCTTCCTGCCCCTACAAGGAGGTCAAGAAACCCCAGGATGTTATATAGTTTGTTTTTCCAGGAAGTATCTTTGTAGCCTCTTTGCTTAAAGCCATAGTACCCTTATTGGTCTGGATCTCTCTGTTAGCTAGGATTAGCATAGGGAGCGTTGGATAGATTAGGCTAGAGGTAGGTTAGGCATCCGACGGCCACTTAGACAGATAGAGGCCCGGTTGCAATGACAGCCCAGTTTAGGGATAGGGACTAAGAGTAAGGATAGATAGGGCATTTTATCCTTTTAGGTGATGCATCGCTGATCTTCAGACAAGCAGTGCAATCATCCGCATGTTACTTGGACGCCATCACAGCATCTAAAGTGGAAGCGTGCATCTTATTGACTCTCACCTCTCCAGGGGCCCCTGCAACCGGACTGCGCTATAACCCATGGTTGGAGGTATTCTGTATACTACATGCACATATACCGGGTATAATTGCAACCTCCCAATTTATGGTAAATTGTAATTCCTGAATGTTATTCTTATGCATCCTGTTTTATATGGCTGCTTTATATAAACTTTGCATTAATCTCATACAGGGCGTGGTGACATGTTTCCATGTTAGAAATATAAGCTGGGTGCATTAATACTGCTATGTATAGTTACTTTAAGTTGTCTACCTGTTACATTCCTAGAAAGGGGTGAGTCTCCTCAATTGCAGGATCCCTATTCTAGGTGGAGGCACTGCCATTTGTATTATCACAACCCCCTCTTCCATATAGCGAAGGCTCAGGATTGCCTACTCATATACAGGTTAGCGCCATAGCTTGTTTGGTGTGGGCCATTTCACATAACCCCCCCCAAAACAGGGCTATATATATATATATATATATATATATA